ATCAGCTGTCTTTGGACATGCCTTGGTTACAGGAAAGCCTGAAGGGAGAAATGTGGCTGCTCCAGGAAGCAAGACCTCGGATACCTGCTCAGCTGAGGGGTGGGTGAGAGCCCCAGTCAGTGGCCCTGTTTGCTCATGACCTTTCCATTAGATACCATATTTTATAGTCTCATGTTTTCTGGCCTGGGTTTTTTGGGGACCTGGGGTTGGTTAGGGGGATATTAGTTTGAAGAAAAAAGGCTGGATTCAAGCCCCAGCTGTGGGACAACTTAGGGTGAGTCACGGCCCAGAAATGTAGTGTCAGGGACTGAAGCCAGAGGGGAAAATATTTATAACTGCCGGAAACATGATGAACCTGTCAAAAATACATGAAATCAGCTAAATAAGTTAGGAAGAAAAAAGCAAGGTCTTGTTTTGTTTTGTGAGTGTGAACATTTTTTTAAAAAATCAAGAAAGAGAAAAATAATTCCTCTACATACAACTGTCTTATGTGAATGATGTTTGGGGGAAATCGAGGAAAGTATCTGTTCCCTTGAGCTGAAGCAGGTTAGAGAGAAGGGATCAGACATAGGAGACAATTGGGAGAGAGATTATGAATTCAGTGGACCCAAGAGATCAAAGCCAACATGACCATGGGGCTACAACCCTCCCCCCGAGAATCTTGGGAGATTCGGAGTGATGCTGGTCTCCTGTGAATGTGGAGTGGGGGTGGAGATGTTTTTATTTATATCTGAGCAGGAGAAAGGAGCTCTTAGGATGGGTGGACAAGCACCTAGGCCACTGCTGTTGGGTAGGGCAGGGTCTCTCTGGCTGCCCACGTTCCGGGACTGAGAGAACTTGTGTTCTGGGAGGAACCAGGGGGGCCTGGGTGGATCTGAAGCAGAGGAAACTTAGATTGAAAAGGAACTGTTTCCACTGCAGCAAACACTAGGGTTCAGAAAGAATGTTGTTTCCTGGGCAGCCAGAGAAAGGGAACCTCGGATTCGGCCAGCTCCCCGGGACGCCAAGCTGGGGTCATAGAGACTGGGGAGGCGTTGCAGACGCTGGAGGAGAGGAGGGACCATTCCTGACAGGTCCGATGGGCAGCTAAGGAGCCCGGACTGCGACCTAGCCGCGGTGGGCCCAGGGGAGGGACTTCAGAAAGAGACCTCTATGGGCCACAGCAGAGGAAGGGTCAGCGGGAACAGATCAGGGACAGAGAGGCCGGCCAGCGGGTGCCACACAGCCCTGTGAGCAATAAGGAAGCCGGTCTCCGAATCTAGCCTCCGAACATTCCTTGTGGTGCGCCTGGAGGCTGGCCTGAGGGGGTTCCCGCTGAAACTCGCTCCAGGAGGGCAAAGGGGGCACATCTCTTCAGCTGATTAATAGTGACTGCCCGGAGCGTTGTCAGGAGCTCCAGCCCGGGAGAAGAGCCACACTGACAGGTGATGTCTGCCGTGCGGGCGGCGCGGGGTGTGGCAGCGGTCATTCATTCATCCACACCCAGTCAAGAGCTGTCCACCGGCTCCGTGCCGGGCCCCTGCGCTCCGAGGCGGTCCTCTGCGGGCGCTCAGGTCCCTCAGCTGCAGAAAGAGCAAACAGCCCCAAGCCCAGGCTCCACTCTGCTCTAGACCTTCTCCCTCGGAGCCTCTTGAAGGTTTTGGAAGAGGTCTGTGTCCCATTCTCTCAGGGTCTTGAACAAATTAGCTGCTTGGTAGTTATTTGTGGAAGGAGGAAAAGAAATGCGTGAATCACCATATTTTCCACTTTTTATTCATTTAACAAAGAAACCAATATATACATTTTGCAAGGCCTTTTCGAGGATTTGGAAATGAATTAGACCCAATCTTTGCCCTCTAGGAATTCATAGCACCATCTGGAGGTTGTGCTATGGAGACATGTGCCCAAATATCTGTAAAACCAGGTCGTTGTGGGTAAATCCCAGTTCCTTGCAGGTGCCTGGCTTCAGGAAGGCAGACAGAGCTTGTCTGGGGCCCGGGGTCTCAGAGGGGAGACCGGTGCCAAGGTGAGAACCAAGATGGGGGTGGGTAGCGGAGGATGAAGCCAGCTGCCCTTCCCCCCATGCCCCCCAGGGAGGGCCCCCTCCATGCCTCCCTGTCCCCCTGGAGCCTGGAGACAGACCACAGCCGAGCAGGAGGGGCGACAGCAAGAGGTCAGAGTGAAAATGGCAGTACAAATCCCCTTCGAGGAAACACTTAGAGGTGTCCAAGTCTTGTTCTGTCATTGGGCCACTGGCGAGGACTTTGTCACTCAGAAAACAGCATGGCAAGAGGGAGGCAAGTGCCGTACCCAGACCCCCAGCTGGCCTCCCATGGCTGACCACAGCACAGAGCGCTGGCCTCCGCCTAACGAGCGGCGCCCACATCACTGCCCCGGACCGTGGGCACGAAGGGCCTCTGTTCCTCCAGCTCCTGTCTCAGTCCCCACACACAGTCACCCAGTTCCCCAGCCCTGGGTCCTGCCCCTCCTCCTCACTGGTGAGGAAGGGGAGAGGGGCGAGGGTGGGGTAAAGGGGAAAGGACAGCCCAGGGCCTTGGAGGACTTGGGGTGGTGGAGGGAGGGGAGGAGGAGGTCTCAGGCCGGAGTGGCGGGCCACAGGGCCCTAAGGGAGTATGGAGCCCACCCGGGGCCCTGGCCAAGCTGTGAGCCCAGACGGGGGCCCAGGGGCTTGTGGACCGCCCTCCCCAGAACTTCAGCCTCTCTTCTGGGATGGTCCGAGGCCGGAACCAGGAAGCAGTTCAGCCTCCGTGCCCCGAATTTTTGAAGAGCCTTGTGGAGCTCAGTGGAGCTGCAAGCTCCGAGTCCTGGAGCCGTGCTCTGGAGTTTTTGTCCTGCAGAGAGCAGGGAGCACGCGGGCTGCACGAACCGGGCATGCACACAGAGGTACACGCGCAGACGTGTGTGTGCACACTCACGCAGGTGCCCTGGGTCCTTCTGCGGCTGGTGACTGATGAGCCATCCCAGGCATGTGGGGCTGCGGGACCCAGAGCAAACAACAAAGCAGGAGGGGGTGCCACACACAAGCCTGCAGGGGCTCCGTGACCAAAACCCTCCGCTGGACTGGGACATGAAGAGGGTGGCTCTTCATAATTTTTATTTGGGCCAGGGTCTTCTTGAATGGTTGCTTATGTAAAACTGTCTGAAAGACTGTCGAGAAAATCTGAATCTATCTCAAACCGATTTCCCTTCCCTGGGAATACATGCAAGTGCATCTATGGGTGTGCATGTGTACACGAGAAGGAATGTGTTTGTGTGTGTGCGTGCAAAAACACAAACTGCCGTGCTGGTGGGGAAGCTGGAAAAAGAAAGAAAAGCATAGACTTTTGATCATTCCTCTGCATACGTGTGTGGGCATGTGCACACAAAGCCGTAAACACACACACATCCATCCAGCCGCATCTTTGGCCCAGTCTGCATCCCGTATCAGTGATTCTAAACTGCTTTTATGTCCGAGAGCTGACCACTTAAACCAGTAGCTCTCAGCCTTGCTGGCACATTGGAATCACTTAGGGAGTTTTTAAAAATCCCAGTGTCCAGGGAACACTCCAGACCAATACATCAGAATTTCTGGAGATGGGACTTTGGCATAAATACTTCATATCAATATTTAATCATCTCCTTAGGTGATTCCAATGTCCTGCCAGGGCTAAGTATTCCTATGCATAGAAAGCCCTTCTCTCATTCCTCTGCACAGAAAACTTCTATTCATCCTTCAAGACCCAACTCCCACAGCCCCTTTGGAGGAAAGCTCTTCCTGACACCTGCCTAGGGAGAATTAGTTTTTTTCTTTCCTGAAGTTCCCAACAACATCTTAGACATCTGACTGCATCAGAATTATTTGCTTGTCTGTACAGAACCATGACCTCTGTGAAGACAGGTGCTGTGTGAGATCCATCTCTCTATTGCCAACAACTAGCTTGATGTCTGATATGCAGCTGATGATCCACAGATGCTTCAGACTGAAAGGGAAGTACGTAATGAAGGCCAGGAACAAGAGAGGGGTGGGGAGTGGAGGCCATGCGTTGTTTCTGAGTGGGAAGGCCATAGGTCTGGTCCCCTGGCAGCACGATGGGGGTACCTCCCCACCTTTTAATAACAGAAAGGGTCCTCTTATGTCAATAAGTCTGATGCTCATTGGTCCACATTTCCTGTTTCCCTAGGAAGTGCCACAGGTATTACTCAGAAATTCAGAGAGACAAGTGAGTGGGGTTATGACCTGTGCCTGGAGTCCTAGGTGACCAACCTTTCTATTCTTTTTAGATTTATTTAAAGAGAGAGAGAGTGTGTGCGAGCAGTGGGAAGGGCGGCGGGGTGGGGAGAGAGAGAGAATCCTCAAGCAGACTCCCTGCTGAGCACGGAGCCCAACTCGGGGCTTAATTCCAGGGTCCTGAGGTCATGACCTGAGCAGAAATCAAGAGCCGGCTGTTTCACCAACTGAGCCACCCATGCGCCCCCAGGTGACCAACCTTTCTTAAGCGTCCCCTTGTTGCCCCCATCCCAAGCCCGCTCTGTCTGGCTGGCTTCCAGGGCACCTTTGCTCTGAGGAGTGCTCTGAGCCATCCAGATCCCCTGCTTCTGTCTCAGATCCAGGCCCGCCCAACAACCTGGTCCTGGGCAAAGGGCTGTGCCTGGGAAACATTAGTGCAAGGGGAGGAGGCTCCTGTCTGCCAGCTGGGCCTGCAGACCCTCCAGCCCCAGCCCAGGAGCCTGAGGAGCAGACAAGAGAGGGCATCCCTGGGCTGAATGAAGTGAGTGAGGTCTGAAGTGGAAAGAGCTCCTCACGTTTCTGACCAGGCCTCCTGGTCACTAGTCCAGGCTGAGGTCATGGCGAGGGCCCCCTACCCCCTGACACACACAGATGCACACACTCACACGCTGCCCACTTCCTGAAGGGTTCTCGACCTCTAGGCCGAGACCAGCCTCTCCCCTCCTGCACAACTGGCCCTCAACTGACCAGCCAAGGTCCTGGTTACCCACAGAGTCCATTCAACACGAGCAAGTGTTTTCTTTACATGTTGGGGCTTTTACTTCAATTTGAAGCAGATGGTTGAGCACAGATGTGAACAGCTTTGGCCTTTTGAGCACAAGGAAGGAACAGGCCTTGGCTTTGAACATGCCCCCCTGCCCGCACCTTCCCCAACTTACTGACCCGTTCCCCTGGTCCCTTCCTCCCCTCTGTCCCTCTGCATAACTGGGAACAGACTACTGGCCTTCATGCAGGGAACCATCTTGTTTTCCCAGCCAGGAGGGTGGACCACAGGCAAGGAGTGGCTGGCTGGGCTGGCTGGGGAACAAAGACCCTTTAGGTGACCCTGGTGGGGCAAGTCCCTGGGGTGGGGTACAGGATGGTCAATATTGCTTCTTTCCTCCCCCTTCCTCCCTTGCCTTGATGCTCAGAGCCCAAGGAGCCTGGACCCAAGGAACACTGAGAATCAGGGTCAGAGGCCTGGGCAGCCAGTGGGAGGGCAAGAAGAGGGCCAGGATCTCATATCCCACTCCGTACAAGCACCCCCAGCCCTCTCTCGCCACCCCCAGAAAGTTTATCTTGTACCCAGCCAGCTCAGGGCCCAATGTAGAAAGAGAGTTCCAGGTCAGAGGGTCGAGCACTTCCATGGTCACCAAATGTCCATCCCTTCCATGAGTTTCCAGTGGGACTGTTGACTCGTCTTTGGCTTGGGATGGCTTTGGCAATGGGAGGAGCCAAAGTCATAGAGCAATGGTGTGGCTTCTCACTGTGGGCTGTTATCACCACAATTTGTTCAGTGTCTCTGTGGAATCTTTGGCAATGAATTTCTGCAGCCCTGGGCAAGGGGGAGGCTTTGCTCTCCCCTCCCCACCAGGCAGAGGGCAAAGTGCGGAGTCACCGGAGTGGCTGAGAGGGGACAGGAGGGTGCGAGGGAGGCAGATGTGCCCCTGCACCCTGACAGGCAGTGGTCTGAGCATCTGGCGGCATCTTGGAGAAGAAGACAAGGCTGGATTTGGAGAGCTCACCTTCTCCTTGGGCTTGACCAGAAAGAGGGCCCACAGCAGCATCCTTGGCCTAGACTGGGGCCGGTCACTCCTGAAAGAAACAACCAACGGTCAGAAGAAACCCTACTCTCCCGACTCCCGTATCCTAAAGGCCAACTGGTCCCATGTGCTGGCACCCTTAGCACCTCCTCTCGTTTACTCCTTGCTGCTGTCCCAGGAGGGACCGGTGTGGCCCAGGCAGGGAACTGTATCTTGATGGGCTCAGTAAGTGACGGCGCCAGCATCTGAACCCAGGACCGGCTGCCCCCAGAGCCCAGCCTGTCCCCTGACTCCGCACTCTGCATTTGAGAGCCATTGCTGATTTTGCCGGTTTGGGGCAACGGGCAGGGCTGCAGGGGCTAGAGGGAGCTCAGGGATACCTAGTGCTGCTGATCACACCATCCTCCGGGTCACACCCCATGGGAATGGCCATCCGCAGCTCCTTTTCCCTCCTGTTCAGACAAGAGCACTATACCTGGAGTCACGGGGCCAACTCGAGGTGCTGCCCATCTACCCACCACCTGGGGGTCCCTGAGACAAGTCACTTGACTTCTCTGGGCCTCGGCGTTCTCATCTATAAAATGACACAGCTGGACCAGGTCAATAATTGTCGAACTTTCTTTTAAGCGGTAGAAATAAAGTCTGACCTGCGCAGCCCTACACAGAAAACAGAGAAACATGGTCTGGTGTATTTGGAGCAGCAGGGTGGGGGGACACAGGGCAAGGGGGTCGCAGGGTGCATTCCCTCCAATGTGAGGCTTGGGACATCTCTGGGAACCCAGGGTGCTAAGGAGCACGGTTTGGAAACCACAGAGGTTAGACCATCTCTAAGGGCCTCACCGTGCTGACCTCTGGAACCTTCGCTCTGGCAGCTGGACTTGCAGTTGCTCCTGAGAACTGTGACCACAGGGTGTGACTTGCTACCAGGAAGGGGCAGGAGATGGGGCAGGGTCACAGGGGCTTCTGGGACTTTAGGAGCTGTCGGGGAGGGTCTGCAAGGACACGTCCTCCCAGAACAGGCCAGAGTAATGGCAATGCCTTAACCTGGTGCCGCTTCTCTGTGATTCCTGTGACCACCCCGAACAAACAGCTAAGTTGCATGTTTCTGAAGCAAAACCTCTGCGGGGCACCTCTGCCACTCCAGGGGGCTTGCTCGCATCCCCCATCTCAGAGGTGAGCTACCGCCCCCGTTTGGAGGAGGCGCGGGAAGCTGGCCACAGCAGGATCTGAATCCGGATCGACAGTGTTTATTCTACCACAGAGAAGCCGCTCCGGCTCAACTGCAGGCTTGGGGACCCGGGCCGCCGCCAAACCACGGTTCTGGAGGGCCTGCCGACCGCAGGCCCCGGGGAGCCTCGCAGGCCTGGGGCGCTGGGCTTGGCCGGCGGCAGGGCTGGAGGTGGGGGTCCGAGGAGGAGGGGGGTTCGCCCAGCTAACAGAGGCTGAGGAGGGAGGAAGGAACGCGGGAGGTGGGAGCATCCTGATGCGCCGCGTCCAGGCTCACCTCCCCTGAGCCCGTCGTGCGGTGCGCGGCTGGCCCCGGCAGGAATCTGCTTCCTGGGACCGAGTCTGAGGAGGAGGATTAAGAGGCGGGAAGGAAACCCATGGGGAGGGCACGGGGCCTGTGGTCCAGGGGTGATTTACAGCCCGCGTCAGCCGGGCGCTGGCTGCCTGGGCGGGCCCTCTCCGTCCGCCCGCCTGCGGTCTGGGGGAAGGCGCAGGAAGCTGCCTCGGCCGGCGGCCCGAGCTGTCCTACTGGCCACTCCTTCAAGGCGCCTGTCCCAAGCCCTCTATTGGCTCTCGGACCCTGCGGAAGCCATGACTACCACCCAAGAGCAACCAAGAGCAATGGAGCCGGTTCCTCTCCCCAAAGCCTGACCTTCAGTGCCCCATCCCGCCCTTTCCCTGGTGTCCACGCTGGACCTGGGCTCCCACCGCCCACCTCCATGCAGGAATCCCAGCACATGCACCAACCAACCAAGGAAGTCTTACGTCAAATGGGGCATGGGGGGAAGAATACTAGGTGGTCTTAGGTGCCAGGACCTCCTCTGAGATTAACCTGCTTTGTGACCTTGGGGAACTTACCCTCCCTCTCTGTGCTTTAATTCCTTCATTTATACCGCAAGTGTAAGTACATATACATGGACACGCACTCTCCCCAAAGGGTCTGCCGTAGAATACTAGACGGGTGAGGTACAGCCCATAAGTCTGGGAAACACCACAGACCTTGGCCCCATCTTGGAAAGTCACTACATATATTAAAGCATATTAAAGGCTCTAAAAAGTCCTGCAGTAAAGAAATTTGCCTGGCTTTATTTACCCACTATCTGCTGAATTCATTTGATTCTGTGATCACAACTGCACCTTGAGGCAATCTGTGGCCCTTCCCTGGACTTCAAGTATCTGCTTCTTTTCTGCCTCAGCATCCGAACCCAAATGCCCAGTGGGGGCAGCAGGTTGGTCCAGCCTCAGTCAGATTTCTTCCATAGACCAGCTATGCTTGGGGTATAGGAGACAAACCCACGGATGCCCCTTCAGAAGGGGCAGGGTGTGTGTGTGTGTGTGTGTGTGTTGTGTGTATTAATTACAGGCAGGTAATTACAAATACAGAGGAGATGGCTGGCAAATACTCCCCACTGTGACAACCATACCACAGACCCCTTCGCAGAGGAGGAGGAGGTCCTGGCACCTAAGACCACCTAGTATTCTTCCCCCCATGCCCCATTTGACGTAAGACTTCCTTGGTTGGTTGGTGCATGTGCTGGGATTCCTGCATGGAGGTGGGCGGTGGGAGCCCACCCATACCACAGACCCCTTCCACAGCTGGGAAAGGCTCTTGGCTCACTGCTTTAAAGAGCCCCCTAAGTCCCAGCCCCTTACCATAGAAGATACCCTTTAAACAGAGTCTGCCATGAAAATAAACTTTGAAAGTGACTAGACAAGATGGCCTCTCAGGTCCCTTTCCGTGGTTCTGACGTGTTGAGTTCGATGGAGGGGATTTGGTCAGTGTGGCAAAGTGGTTGAGTTTATCACATTTAGAAATCATCTTTTGATCTGTCCATTCATTTGTGGCCAGAACATCAGCTCCACGAGGACAGGGACATGGTCTGTTTTGTTTGCTGATGAAGCCCCGGAGCCTAGAACCATCCGGATCATAGGAGCACCTCGATAAATATTAGTTGAACAAGTGAATAAATATTTCCAGTCAAAGGCATTTTATTTACTATAACTTTTATATACCACGGAATATGTTTCCGTTTCAAATGTAACTTAGCGTTTTTGTAAATATGCCTACGCTTCAGGGAAACTTTGGGTAATTGTTATGAAACATGGAACAGGGCTGCACCTTTTTCACTTTTGTTCATTTCCCGTTTTTTTTATTTCTAATTATACCTCCTCTGCTTACCAAGTTTTTCTCTGGCTTTACGAGGACTGGCTTCCTCTCTCAATCACTTCTGTGTACTACAGTGCAATTTTACCACTTTAGGGGCATTTGAAAAAATGACTCTATCTGCCATCTCAGGTGTTTTACCTTTTAAATTCACTTTCAGTTTATGATTTTCATATTCATTTTCAGTCCACTCTACCTACTTAACCATTTTTCACTATTTTCAAATTATCCTTTTTTTTCTATTTTAGCAATTTGGATATATTCTTCCAGATGCAGAAAAAGATCCAATGGAATGGAAATCCTGACAGTTTGTTTGTTTGTTTCTCCTAAAAAGAAGTCAGATTTCAAATGTTATTTTAAAACAAAACTATGAAAGACAAGCAGGGAGGGCACCTGGGTGGCTCAGTCGTTAAGTGTCTGCCTTCAGCTCAGGTCATGATCCCAGGGTCCTGGGATCTAGTCCCACATCAGGCTCCCTGCTCGGCGGAGAGCCTGCTTCTGCCTCTCCCTCTGCCTGCCACTCCCCCTGCTTGTGCTCTCTCTCTCTCTGTCAAATAAATAAATAAAATCTTAAAAAAAAAAAGGACAAGCAGGGACGACGTGGGAGATGTATTTTCAAGACCCACACTATTAGGTATTATTTTATCTTTCACTTCTCAGTGCACCAACATGTGGGCTGGGAAGGGCCTTTGTGTTTGGTTGCAAATGCAGAACTGTAAGGTCCACTGTGGCCCCAAAGTCAGCAGGCCACAGGGCCCTGGACAGGCGGGCTCATCTCTCCATGCCTCAATTTCTCCATCTTTAAAGAGGACACAGTAATAGTACCTGCCTTCCAGGCCAGTTGCCAAGAGTCATTGAGACAAAGGAGCCATGGCCCTGGCAGGGCCTGGCACACCGTGCAGGCACGGGAAGGTGCTGGCTCACGTCCCTGCAAAAAGCTGGGTCCTCCCTTTGACGAACGGGTGTCCGAAAATACAAAAATGGCATCATAGTCTGAAAAGTCTCAAGTAATCAGAAATAGTCACATTGAACCAACTGTCATATTGACCAATTTGGTTTTGATGGATTTTAAAAAAAATAGACACAATTTCTAAGATTACATAAGGCATGTCCATCACCTCATGACTGGATAACCAAAGTATGGTGCATCCATACAATGGAATATTATTCGGCCAGAACAAGGACGGAGGTACTAAAACATGCTAGAACACGATGGACCCCAAAAGCAGTGTGCTAAGTGAAAGAAGCCAGTCACAAAAGGCCACGTGTTCTAGGATTCCATTCACATGAAGTGTCCAGAGGGGGGAAACCCACAGACTAGCGGCTCCCTGGGGGCAGGGGCAGGGAGGACTGTGGGGTAGGGAGAGCTAAAGCATGCGGGGTGTCTTTCTCGCCTGAGAAGAAAGTTCTAAAATGCACTGCAGTGATGGTTGCACATAGCTGCGAAAATACGAGAAACCACTCAGCGGTACACTTCCAGTGGGTGAGCTGACGTCATCTCAGTCAAGCAGTTAAGTTTTAAAAAAATTACGTAGGTCGTACATGCTAATTACAGAAAGTGTAGGAAGTACAGAAGAGTGGACAGAAGGGAAAAATTTCAGTCACCTCAATCTCCCCCCTGGGAACGTGGGGTGACTACCGTTCCTTTACTTTTCTCAGGC